CTGCAAGTCCGATTGCTTTGATACTATACATATTGTTCATTTTCTAATGATGTCTTCAGTTCTTTAATTGAAATGTGCATTGTTAACAGCGGAGCTATCTCAGCCGATAGGCTGCTTGTTTGTAATTGTTGTTTTCTTTGCAACATATTTTTTTTCAGTGATTCTTGATAAAATATTCATAAAAAAAAGCTGTTTGACTCCTGTGTGCAATGCATGCAATGGGAGTCTTTGCAATTAGTTTGTCTGTATGTATATGCAAGTTCCACTGATATCTCAAGAACCATAATAAATTTGTCATACTTCTCCAATACTCTCAGCACACAGGTGTTCTTTTTAAGCTTTCTTTGATTTGTTATTGTTATCTCAGACCATGAAAAGTTAACATTTACGACTACGGATGCTGATTTTTAACTCAATTATTTATGTGAAATTATTTCAGATATCTGCACCACAGGAAAGGCTTTACTCTACATGGATAGGGTAAGTATCTATTCTCCCTTGGATATTGCTGCTTTCTTCAGGGCATGAAACAAATCCAATGCAAGAACAATTTTTTCATTTATATTACTTGTGTTTGTGATTTGAATCTCAATGGAAACTTACTTTCTATGTCTTAGTGTCAGTGAACCTACTTCATGAATAAAGCCTTTGCAAAATTATTTCATTGCCAAAATAATGTAAATACATCTACATGTATCAATATTCTAGATTCAGAACACTTTCAATTTTATTAAGTAAATCTTTGTGATGTCATTCACTATACTATTGCAATTTGATTATAGCCCCATTATTGTTTTTATTATTACAGGGGTTCAATCTTGGCATCGTTAGATACATTCAAAAAGATGTGGGTATCTAAGAAAGAATACGAAGAAGATGGTGCCAAAGCTGTTCATCGTAAAACATTCTAAACCCAGACATTTTGCTGTAAATATTATATCTGTGCAGTAGAACTGTGTTGAATAAGGTCATTTTAATTATTCATTTGAATACCACCACTTCAATGTCTTGTTATCTCCCAGAATTCATTGCGGTATTCCTTGTGACATCATACAAGGCTTTTGAACATCATATCATTAAATAATTTTAATTTTCATAAAGCATGTCAGTATTTTATGGTTGTGCTAAGCAAAGTCAGTTTACCTTAGTTTATTCAAAATATCTCCATAGCAACACAGGATGCCAAGGTAAATAAGTTATATTTGAGAGGTACAGATTATGAAATGAACATGTTAACAAATGATATTGCTGTACTGTAAACTACTTTAATTTCATGAGACGACAGAAATTTGAACTAGTGAACATTTCATTTTGAAGTGAGTCCCTGTGACTTTGGTTGTGAGGCACAGCGAATTTGGGAGTGAGTCACAGAGATTTTGGGAGTGAGTTACAGTAATTTTAGGAGTGAGTCACCACAGCGACTTTGGGAGTGAGTCACAGTGATTTTGGGAATGAGTCACATAGCGTCTTTGGGAGCGAGTCACACTGAATTTGGGAGTGAGTCACACTGAATTTGGGAGTGAGTCACACTGAATTTGGGAGTGAGTCACACTGAATTTGGGAGTGAGTCACACTGAATTTGGGAGTGAGTCACACTGAATTTGGGAGTGAGTCAGCGACCTTGTGTGCGAGTTACAACGACTTTGGGAGTGAGTCACACTGAATTTGGGAGTGAGTCACACTGAATTTGGGAGTGAGTCACACTGAATTTGGGAGTGAGTCACACTGAATTTGGGAGTGAGTCACACTGAATTTGGGAGTGAGTCAGCGACCTTGTGCGTGAGTTACAGCGACTTTGGGAGTGAGTCACAGCGACTTTGGGAGTGAGTCACAGCGACTTTGGGAGTGAGTCACAGTGACTTTGGGAGTGAGTCGCAGTGAATCCAAACTTCACTGTCTTAAACATGTACAAAAAATGAAAGTACAATACCTACAATTCACAAAAAATCAAGGTAAACTATATAACTGCTTGGCACAACCAATAATCTGCTTTCTAAATTAGAATATTTGGCCTTTATTGAAGTTAAGGGAAATTTGTAAGATTTGTGTGTAAGTTATTTATTTCCTCACATTCATATGTTGATATTTGCATTTGTAGAATCTTTAAAAAAAAATAGTTTGAGTAAATTATTCCTAGATGATTATATCCCTCTGAGAATTTATTATTAAATGTAGATTTCTAAATAAAATTATTTACCCTCTGTTCCATGAAGGCATGAATGATTCTTATGGAAATTTATTAAATATTTATAAAACATTTTCCCTGGAAGACTTTTATACAAATGTACTACTCAAGATACTTCATTTTATAGAAGCAATTTGGTAACTCCCATTACCCACGAGTCTTTCCTGTTTTTTTTAATCATTGACCGTTTACTGCCGTGCTTACAAAAGATATTTTGTATGGAATGTATGTATCCACTGAGGTGTTGTGATTGGTCACTGCAACTGCCACTTTTATGATATATTTAGGAATATTTCATATAAAAAACATTCATGCCTTTATGAAACAGAGTGTACTGTTTACAATATATTAAGTTTATAGCGATACATCACGTAGTCGTAGGTAAGGTTTAGGTAAGTTATACAGCTAATACCCAAGTGTGTCACATTATGTTGTATAACATTCAATTGAAGTTCAAATTTTGTTCAAAATGTGCTGAGCTATCCAGCAATATTATCAAATAAATTGTATTGAACTACAGTGGTGTCACATAAGCTACCGGTAAACAAAAAATTAACCAGTGGAGAGATGTCTTTATGGTCAGCTGTCAAGTCTGTCCTACAGCTTGATGCTAGTGGCTACATTGTCAGTACAGCTTTGAATATGATTGACTATAACAAGAAAAAATTATATTTGATGAGTTTCTCTTGATATCTGGAATTTGAGTGCATCAAAGCTGTATAACGTACATAAACATAATTTTCAATATTTGAAAAGCGCTTATCTACTTAGCTATTTTTATTTGTTTCAATAGCGTGGGGACAGGGTTGATCTGCACTTGCAATTCCTCAAATTGTTAAAAATTAATTATTAAAAATCTAAAAGGATTATGTTAAATTTTTTTAAAGGCAAAATACAGTATTTGTTCAACTAGAAGCACATGCGTTTTCATAATATGTTAAAAGATGAGTAATCGGCAAATCATTGTGAGCTAGGGGTACTTTATTTCCCATCAAAACAAAAACTTATGGTTTTATGAGTTGCACTTCTAATAGAGTAAATACGATACCATCTTTTCCGTAGTTGGCCAAGATTAAAAAAAAGAAAAGTGCAATGAATAAAAATAATAGTCAATGGTTCCTGTACTTTTATATGTGCTTTGAATTTGATTCACTGACAGTGCTATCTTGTTCATGAATTTTTTAATTTGCTTGACTTCTGTGTATATATATCTTTTTTTTTCATTTTTTCATACAATTTTATCATTTTCTGTATGTTTCTGGTCAAACTTTGGGTCCTCTGATCGTTTTGTCTTGATTTGACTCAAACATTGTACAATTTTCCTGTTCAAATACTCTTTGACAATGTCTGTAACATTATCATGCAGCATTACCGTTAACTCCTTGACCACCTCTGAGTTGTAATTTTGATCTAAAATCCCCCAAAAGTAAAAAAAAAATGATGCAAAATATTGCTCTAAAAATGATTGATAATTGTGTGTTCAGTATTTGCTGAATGTACTATTGGTAAAAAATGGAGACTAGATTGAAACATTTTCTCAACTTGATATCTGAAACTTTTTTTGTAGAATTTGTGAGAATGAACGTCGCAGGGTATAATTTTCACCAAGAGGAAAATTTATCACCACTACATGGCAAAAATAAAAATATTCTCATGGATACTTGAGAATATGTCTATCCAACATGCAAAAAGGTGGCACTTTCTTGCTTTACAAGTTTTGCACTTTTAGTGGTCCTTTACATGGAAATTTCATAGAAATTCGTGGTATATAGATATTTATTTGAAATTAATCCAAACTTGATGCTCAGTTATCCAAAATAAAGAATCAGTTCACTTTCGAAAGGGAGAGAACCATTCTGTATTGAAGATGTCTACCATAGTTTTAGATGTTAAACATGTCTACTGTATTGTCTGCACTTGTCAATAAAACTACATCTATATGGTGCTTCCAATTATACCTGCATTATGTATTGTGGTGTTTATTTCATTCCTGCAGTGAAGCTTTGAACTTGAGAATTAAATTGACACCAACAGATTAAATTGCTAGTGTATAGGAATAATATAGGGATACCTGTGTTTCACAGAATGTACGAGCTGCAAATAGAGCATTAACTTTGAATGAACACATTGTAAGTATTGTAGCAACACTCATCCAGTTAGTCTTTCAATGATCACTGTGGCAACACATGTAGCATTCACAGAGGAGTTTGAAAACTTGAAAAAATGCCAGATTTTGGATTGTAGGGGGTTTTCCCCAAAATTCCTAGCTCAAAAAAATACATTTTATGTTGTGAAATTATTGATGACAATGTCTGATAAGACATGTAATATGTTGCGTAAAAAAGAAACTTGAGATACGGTACATCCTAGCCAAATTATTGGCAGTCAAGGAAAGCACCAGCATTTTAGAACATGAATGAAAAAAATGTGCATGTAAATGATCCACCCGTCAAACTGTAGGGCATCATTTTCCGCTTAAAATAAATGTTCCAATCAGACAGGTCTTTATGATTTCTCACTTTACTGCACTATGGAGTGTTATTTGTCAAGGAGCCCAGTAATTGCATACAGTATATAGACTTATATAAGAAGTCAAAAATAGAGAATTGAACATCACGAAATGAACAATTCTGACAGGTCCACCTGTAATACTGTAAAATCTGTATTAGAAACCGCAGCTTCTATTAAAATGGTACAATGCAACAGAGGGGATGCAGCTTCTATTAAAGCATCTACACATATGAGAAATGATGTGTTTTTGGTTCTCATTTATTCAAAAAGAATGGGTGCGACTTCTATTAGGGATGCGGCTTCTAATACAGATTTTACTGTACTTACCGGTATATGTATATCAAAGCAATCAGACTTGGGGGTTTTTAACAAGTCACAAATATGCATCAAAATTAGGGAATTGAAGATATTTTCATGAAATGAACAAATCTGAGAGTGGTCCACCTGTAGTACCTATATGTATAATATCAAAGCAGTCAAACCTGCAGTTTTCAAAAAAATTTTGAAAATATTACTTTTTACCAAAAAGGCCAAAAATTTACGTTATCACGGCAAATTAAATGGCACATTAAGTGTCCAATGTGTTTTGTCCATAAAACGTTTAAAGGTTATGAAACTTTTATACTTTCAACTTCTCTAACTTGGAAGATTTGGTTAAAACATTCATTTTAAGCAAATCATTTTGCGAATCGGATAGATGGAGTGCAATATGCATACATAAACACCACAACACTAGATAAAATACACAAGACTTCAATGCTTGAAAAGTAGATTTTAATTCCTTTGATAAAATCTGTCTTCAGTTCATATATTGAACAATTCGGCAAAAATACAATATATTTAGAACAGTGAAAAGGGGGCAATAAATGTGTTTAATATAAACAATGAGAGATATGGAAGAAGTATAAATAATCGTAATGTGCTGTGACTAGTAGGATATCTGATGCTCACCATAGCACTGCAAACTTGTACAAAACCAGGAATTATAACAAGAGGCAAATATGCAGCAGGATGATTACCACTACAAGCAAGCAAGCACGAGGCCTCTCCAAACATTGTAGAGCCTGTAACATTCCTGATTGGAAAAGACCATGAACTTTAACATTGCTCTTATCCAAGATGTACCTGTATACAAGTCAGAACTTTACCACATTTGTTTATTAGGAGCAGGTTCTATAATGGACACGTGTATTATATTTGTTATAGAAGTGCATATCCATTGAGAGGCACACATACTGTATTAGCTCTTTAAGCACTTATCAAAGTGAATGTAACAGTTGCATTGTATGCCGGGTCAATTACAAATTCTTTAGATTAACCCAGATGCATCTGTCATTCATTCAAGTGCATGCGTTACAAAAACAGTACTGGTATACCATACACAACTATGCATGTCCTTGATGCAGACTGTACATCAGTGATTCACTGATATTTAATTGCAATGAACATATTCATTGGAGTTGAAATAGTTTTATTGTAATCGTTAACTCGTCAGCTAAATCAAAACCCCTGAATGCTTGTATCAGAGAATTCTGAAAACACTACATAATATGGAGATAGAGAGAACCGAAAAGACATCTGATATTCCTCACCGCTATAATTCAGAAGTGATAAACATGATGGAAACAAATCGCTTGTCGTCTTGCAGATTTAAAAGCTGAAGGGTTGCACTATTTGTACAATTTCACGTTTGCAAGTGTTATTAATTGCACAAAAATACATTTTATACAAGAGTGTTCGATATACAAAACATTTAGTTCCTTTGTGACTTGAATGGGCTTGATTGAAAGCAATTGAAAAACCTAATCATCCTAAATATTGGATTTTGGAATACAGAAACGCAGCAATTTGTTGCAGTATTCAATCAACACCACACAATATTTTATTATCGGTGTTCTGTTTTTTTACCTTGTTTTGACTCAGTGTCATTTTTTCACCTGGAAACCATTCTACTGGTTACCACTATCCACTTAGTATCGACTTACTGCTAAATGGATGACCATGGCATTGACTAGCTGTCAGGCGGTGACCATGTCATTGGTTGGCTGCAAGTGGGTGACCATGGCATTGACTGGCTGTTAGTGTGT